AGAAATGCATACAAGAAATAGTGCTTGCTTCACTGGATGTACTAGATGAGTGCTTGACAGTTGACACCATTGATGTTGTACTAGACAACCATATAATAGAGTATCTCGAGAATTTCTATTTAATAATGAATATAATGTCCAAAATAAATTTTCGGTCCGTTTAGTGGGAGTATAACTCAAAATACGAATATTTCAAAAGTTACCCATAATTTATAGTGATAAAATATATATTCAGTTCTAAATAAGTGTAAACGATTAAATATGAGATTGAAATTATTTGAGACTATATAGTAAAAGAGGGCAATTAATAAGCCCTATTTATAAGCTTCTTAATTTGATTAACATCATTAAGTAGAGAAATATACCATCTACTTTCCATTTTTATTTGGATTTTTTCTTTCTTTGAATTTAAATGGAATCTAAATTTTCAAGTATTAACAATATATTTATTATTTATATTTGTAGATGATTAGTTTATAAAATTATCATTAGTTTTTATATTTTTCATTCAAATGGGCCTTGGTCTTGGGCTAAGTTAACCATTTTATTTATTCAAATGGGCTGTATTTGGCCTAACAATATTGAGCCAAAAGCCCATGAAATTAGGCCAATTCTAAACCCAAATTAACAGCATAGGGTTGAAATTCTATCTGCCAATTGATCAATTCAATAAAACCTGAAAACAAAAATCAATAAATGAAATAAAAACTTCATTTATAACATTCCAGTACTTGAAATTACTCTCATAAATTTCCATCTCAATTTTTTGTAACATCTTTTGTGATATATAATATAGTTTATTCAATGAATCATATAGTTTCATGTTTAATGCTGTATATTTTCTGACTATGTTGTTAGTTATCACTCAATGTATTACTTAATGTGTTTCCTGTTTCAAGTTTTATACATTATATGAAAAAATCGAAAATATTCTGTAATCGAAACAATCAATCAATACATTCATGTCGCGTATGAAATTTTATTTCTTTATCGTCTATATTAACAAACAATACGAGTATTAGTTTTTCAAAAGAATATATACATAAAATGTATTCATTTACTTGTTATTCTAAGAACAAAATTCTTTCAGTCATTTTCTAATCTTAACAATCAAAGCAAACCCTTTCGCTTTGACGTTCTGAATTATTTGATTTGGAATGAACCAAATCTCCTAAAGTATAATTCAGAGTTACGACTAATTCTCAGCTTATATCATTGAACTACATGAGAAACAATAGGAATTCATATATTACAGAATTTAATTCCTGTTCTCAATCCACAACCAATATGATTCAAATTTTTCTTCTTAAATCTTCTTAGAAAAGCTTTTTTTTAAGACAAAAAAGTATTGAACTTTTGCAATTATGGAGTCTAATTTTTGACAATGAAGGGAGTTGATAAAAGTAATTGTTAAATTAATAGATGATGTTGGCCTCTAACCTCATTTAATTTTTAGTGAAATTATGAGTAAAATACAAAGGATTGAGTAGTTCCCATTGCTTTGGACAAACCCACCTAATCACATGAAATTATTTATGGGGCCTATTGATTTGGTCTCACCTTATAATGAATCTAATTCAACTAATGACACCACCACCAATAATTCATAATATATATTCTTTGAAGACGGTTTTGCCCTTTGTTTATTTAATTATTTAATTTTAATTTATTAATGAATAAAAATGGTTCAATTTGAAAGTGAAATAAAGAGCATAGTTCCAATGCATGTATATAATTTATGTTGATAGAAAGTGGTAATCATTCACATAATATAACACTAGATAATATCACAAGGGTTAGATTAAAAATAAATTATTTTTAAAAAGGATTTTTCCTTATTCCCTTATTATAATGGAAGGATGGAGATAAAGATGACATTTTAATGATATATTCATAAAACAGAAAAAATTAAAACGAGAATACATGTTTACTAAAACAATTAAAAAAGGACACAAGTATTCAAAAAGAAAAAAAAAATGACATTTAACTATATAACACCATTTAATTTAACCAAAAAAAAAAAGTAATGATATTAGAAAAATCAATTATACCTTCATTAATTATTTTCTATGATATTGATTATTATGACATGGTTTTAAAATATATAAAATAATAAAATTTCAAAAAATAAAATTAAAATCTTTTTAAATAAATTAATTTTACTTTGATTTGTATTCGAGGCTCTAGCATGTCAAATGGCTCTTTATTTTCTTTTTAGTAAGACATTGCATAATTAGTATAATCTCTTCTATATTGATTTTGAGATTTTATATTTTATTATTATCATATAATTAATATTTTATTATGAAAGTAAAAAAAAAAAATCATTTTTTAACCAAAGAACATGGAAAAAAAAAAGGCAAATATAAAAGGTTAGGCTTAGGTTATGTCTTGATTTTTTATTTTTCCCTTTTTTGTTCAGTCCTTATGTGTTTGGGCATTTGACACATGTTTGTCTCTCAATGGTTATTTATATTTTTTAATGTCTCTTTTGACTTTGACATTATGTATTAAATTAATAAAATAGATTTACGTTTATACCATCTATGAAGTTAAGTTAAACGGTAACGGCTTATACCGTTAATTGTCCTATTTTTGTCTTTTAATAAATTTGTGTCCCTTTTTAATTGTTTTTTATGAACATATGTGTTTATTTTGATTTTCTCCCTTCATAAAATGATATAAAACATCATCTAATACACTATTCAGAATATCCAAATTACCGTTAATATTAATTATTTAAAAATAGGCATTTTATATCTTTTAACATTTCTAATAAAATTTGTTTAACAAATTCTCTTTAAGGAGGTAAGTGACAATTTTTGAAATGTGAAGGGAGGTGGGAGATAATTATTGATACCTTTGGAGGCGTGAGCGACTGAAACCCAAACCTTAAGGGACACAAGGGATATTAAGCCTTTTTTCATATGTCAACAACGATACTAACCAAGAACTTAGTTGAAAATGATATATATTTGCTGTCAAAACAACATAAAACACCAATTTTGTTTAGAAAAAAATAATAATAATAATAATTCAAAATCAAATTTATTCTTCCTTAATTATTGACTTGTTCAAAGAATTACTAATACACATTTAGTCAAAGTGTCAAAAGTATTTTTATGGGTACAACAATTTTGCAACGTAAAATAGAGTAGACCATAATCAACGGTTATTAATAAAACTATTTCTTTCGTATCAATAACCTAAAACAAAAAGAAAAAAAAAATGTATTAATGCATGGCAACAAACACATATTCCAAAACCTTACACAGTTACACCCTCAACTTTTACCATAGCTATAAGATTATAACCTTGTTGGTGCAAAACCCACAAATGTCGACAGAAAAATGCATGGCTTAATATGTTAATGTACATAGAATCAAGGCCTAAAGTAATTAGACTCAAATCAATAGTTATTAATAACACTATTTTATTCCTATCAGTAGCTTACAAAATCCCACACACATATATATATATATATATATATATAGTAGCAAATCTATATATATTTTCCAAAACCCCATATATCGACCCTAAACTCAAAGAATATTTTGTGTAAAGAATGTACATATAATCGGTCAATGAGAGTGCATTATGTCGGCACAAGTACCATATAGACTTACTCTTATTGATTGATTGTATGTGTATCAATAGTATATAAATCTTTTTCCTAATCTCAGAGTCTTTTAAACTTTTAACATGGCAAAAACATGCAAGTATAACCCTTTTTGTGCAAAAGCCCACAAAGGTTGACTGCAAAAATGTATAGCTTAATATGGTTCATGGCCTAAAGTACACTTAAAAAGAATGAAAATAGTAGACTATAATTAATGGTTATTAATATACCTTAAAAACCCACCTATATATCCATTTATGGTAACAAATTCTTATTTTCCAAAACCTCGACATCAACCCTAAACTTTGAGAATACGTTAAGTATTATGACTACACATACAACTAAACGATGAGAGTATACCACATCAATGCGTGTGACATACACATGTGCTCTCGTTAGCTAGTTGTATGTAGATGCTTTGTACAAAATGTTTCACATAAACTCATTACTTTTAACATTTTGACATACATGTGCTCCTCATTGACTGGTTGTATGTGTTTTGTTTTACATTAATATTTTTATCCAAAATTCGCAACTCTTTACTTTTGACATGGCGAAAACATGCAAATATAATCATAAACTTAGAGAAAGCCTTGTGTGTAACAAATGTATATATAATCAGCTTATGAAAACGCATTATATCAACACACATGAATACACATATGCCTTCAGTGACTAGTTGTATCTACATTCGTTATACGTATTCTCCTAAAGTCACCATCCTTAACTTTCTGAAATACAAATGCGTTATAGTCAACATATTGTACATGTATCCGTCGATGCAAGTAAGTTTTCACTTTCCAAAACTCAGAACCCTTTAACTTTTTGACATGACCAAAACATGCAAACACAATCCTTTTGGTGAAAGAGCCCACAAAGGTTGACACAAAATTGCATTGCTTATAGTGTTGAAGGGGGGCTTAAGTAGACACAAAGAAAAAGGGAATGAAAATGGTAAATGAAAACCCGATTTGGGAAGAGCAAAGGCAAAGAGTGAGAGGATTTTACACATAAAAAATAAAACAAAGTACATGTGGTAATTAAAATAAAGTAAGAAGAAGAAGACAAAAGAGAAGAGGGTGGAGATTGAAGAATATGTGTAATGATTGTAGTGGGAGTGTATGCATGGTTGGGTCCTACTTTCATGACCTCTTCTTTTTTGTGACTCTCATTTTCATGACCCACTCTTTTTCTCTCTCCCTTTGATTTTCCTTTATTTAATTTTAATCAAAATATTCTATCAATTAATTTTAATTAAATAATTTTCAATTTCCTACACTTTACTGTTCAATTTTGGAGAAAAAATATTAATAATTAGAAATAAAATAATAAATATATAAAATAATTTAGCTTCATAAATAAAAAACTAAATTAAAAAAAAGAATAATACATCTATTTTGGTATCTAAAATTCTCTCCTCTCAAAAACCACCCCTAAACAGAGTGAGTTTCTCTCTCTCTTTCTTAGTTTCATTTCTCTCTCCTTTTCAATCTCTCAATCAGGTTAGCTGCTGCTTCTCCTTCTTCTTCTTCTTCTTTTATTTTTGGTATATTACTTTTTGGAATTTTTTTGTTTCCAATTTTTTAATTTTTTTGGCTTTTCAGACAGGACCTTTGGGTAGCTTTATATCTCGTGATTTTTGGGATTCTGTTTTTGGGTTTACGTGTTTATGTGTTGATGCAAATTGGTTTTCTTTTTTTTGGTTTTGTTTTTGCAGGATTGGTTTTGGATCTTTGAAGAAAAGCCACACTGGATTTTATGAATAACAGAACAGGGTTTCTAGGGTTTTTTTTTTTCTTTTTTTTTTTTTTAATTTAAGTTGATGGGTTTGAGTTGTGTGCTCATTTCATTGTAGATTTCGTATTCTTATATGGGTTGGTTTGTTTTGATTGTTTTGATGCTTCTTTAGTGTAAATTTTAGATCTTTTCGGAAGCGCTAGATAATATATTGGTTGTATAAGTAGTATAATATTTTTAGGGGGTTTTTATGTCTGTTTGTTGGAGAGAAGATATAAGATGATAAGGTTGTCGGATTTTTAGACGATAGACATTTGCTTTGATGGAATAGGATTTTGGGGGAAGGTGTATGTTGGAAGAATTAACAAGGTGAGGTGCTTGGATTTGTTTGTTTGAGAGGATTGAATGCTTGTTTGATTAGAGCTTTTTTGATTTTGGAGAACTGGTGTGGTTTTTCATTGGTTAAAAATGGTGAAGGAGAGAGTTTTTGTACCAAGGAGTGAGAATGTGTATTTGGAGGATGTGTTTAATCGTGAAGAACCGTCATGTGCTGAAATGGAAATGAATGACAATCATGGTTTTGCATCTGAGGAAGGTGAGGGAAGTAACATGGTGTTTCCTACAGAGCCATCTCTTATTAGTAAAGATTCAAGAATATCTAGTGCTTGTAGTTGTCTTGCAAAGAATCTGAAATTGAAGAGGGTGATTCCGGCAGATTCCGAGCTTTCTAAAGACAAACCGGGGCATGAAAAGAGACTCAGTAAACAAGACAGGATTGAGTTAGGCCAGTTGTTTCAGCGTGCAATGAGTTCCCATGATTGGGAGCTCTCAGAGAGTCTAATATCATTGGCAGATCCACAAACCCTGAATGATGCGTTGTGTATTACGCTGGACTCTATTTGGTTTTTGAGCTCAGAGCAGGAGCTTCATGGGGTAACAGGATTGATTAAGAGCATAATTTCCCATGGTGCTTATGACTTCACAAGAGCTGCCCTCAGAACTTCATTTCTTGCTTCATGTGTTTCCGCTTGCCAGAGCAGAACAATGAGTCTTGCTGACACAGTAACTGTGATGGCCCAGAGGTAATCAAGCTCATGTTTTTTTAGTGGTTAGTTTTGAAGATAATCGTGCAATATTTGGTTCCCTCTTTTAGCTCTTATGTTGACTTGGTCTGCTGTTTCTAATTCTATTCTTATGTTTGGTTTGAAAGAATTTCTTATCTCTTAGTGGCAATGTTTAGTCTATTCTCAGTAGAGTACTATAGATAATATATGTATATGCATTCTCAGAATTTTGAGAATTCAGAACTCTCTATAGTTCATTTTTGTTCGTCGTTAATTCATTTCTTCAGTTAAGCATGTTTTTCTAGTAGCTGTGAGACATTTTGTGCATGAATAATTAGTTTTAGTAGATTGTAGTAATGACATGTGAATATTTGTTTACCTTAGTCTCTTTGTGCATTTCAAAAATTATAAACAGCATAGGCATCAATGTATTGCCTATATTTTGATTAAAAGAAGGGATTGCAATTCTTGTATCTGAAACATTTTTTTTCCTGTGTCATGATGAAGTGCACTCCCTTTCCTCTGTATATGAGTGTGGTTTCAGGTAGCAGTTTCTCTGTGCTGCTTGTAGTTAATCAAAATTTGATTTTTATAGTTGTATACATTCTATAAAATTATCTGCATACAGAATTCCCTTTAATATACATAAAGAGTTATTATTTTTGCCAATTATCAGAGGCTAAAGTTAACTGATCGTTGCATCTTTATCGATCCAAGAAGTTCAAGTTGAAGATAACTAAGAAACAACTGATAAATGTCAAATTGAATTTGAAGAGTGTGTAGCCTTGAATTCTTATTACAACTAAGGAAGCAAAGAAAACCGGAAGAGCCAATTTTTTCAATAAAAAGTAAAAGAACTTCCACTTACACAGTTCAGTATTTAGTCAGTGTAATTATAGGAGTACTTATATTTCTTTCTAATGTTCTTCAAGAAGTATATGAAATGTTGTCTTTTGGAGTCAAGATTATTCCAGTCAGCTTTGGTATCATTGAGTTTTAGGCTTTCTTGCAGGAGGAGAGGTGGTGGGATGGGATAATGTCCAGGGATTGATAGGATGAGGATTGGGGATTTAGAAATCGAAAGAAAAACGTCTGTTTGCAATTTCGTTGAAAGAATATGCAAATAATTAAGATTGCAACGAAGGGAGAAGCAAGAGATGAAAAGGAAAAATGGGTGCCTGAATTGTAAACCAGATGGCTCATAATAATATATTAGTTTTCACAGTAGAAGAAAAAATAGATTACACAGGTACTTCTAAACTTTTTAACTATTCCTCTTCTGACAACTAGCTTTTCTAAATGCTGAGTTTGAACAAAATCTAAGAAAACAATTATAGTCTCTTCAAAGTTCATAGAAAATTGTACACTTGAACCAGCTTACAATTTCACCAGGCAAGCTCAGAGCCATCAAAATTAATAAAATCAAAATCAACAATTGATTTGATTTTGGACTGATCACAATTTTATCTTCAAAATTATGCAAGGCTGTCATGATCACACTTCATCTGAGATCCCAAACAATTGAAAATTTCTGTCAGTAAAATAAAAGAATAGGGAAACTAGCAACGAAAGCCTTGGTTGCTTTACCAGAGGTAACATGTGGTTGCTACTTCTGTGTCTGTTTTTCTGCAATTGTTATTTGTTCCCTTTTTATGGTTTGAGATTCTCTAGATGCAGCAAACATGAATGATAGGGTTTCTTGATTTCTCTCAGATGTGGGTTAAAGTTTTAGCATTTGTGATTTCATTCCTGTTGACATGCTTTCTGCAAATCTTTTCTTGTTTATGTAAACATTATTAGTAGACGTTCATTACATTATTCCTACAAGTTAGCGCTTACTTTACTTTTGGAAAGGTTCTCTAGTAGAAAAATAACTTTATCTATAAATTGCACAAATGAAATTGCAAAAATTCGTGTTACCTTAGAAACCTGTTAGAAGAAAGCAAAACAAAGTTTTTACCGCTTGCATGCTGATTGTTATACTGGATTTTTGCATCATGTTAACTTTCTGTTATTTCTTATTTGCTTCCTGTCAGGCTGCATGAGCGTCTCCAGGAGTGCAATGGGGACGAGGTCTTGAAGGCAGAAGCTGGTGCTAAGGTTCAAAAGTTTACTGAATGGGCTCTGAGATGTATAGGCTTCCATTCTCGCTGCCATGGGAGTCGGGACAGAGTGAGTCACTGCACTGCTGTTGAGATCCAACTCCAGCTATCTGCATTCAAGACATTTCTAGATCTGTCAGGCAATCAGCTAACAGGGAAAGATTTCACAGAGGCTTTTGATGCAGCTTGCTTTCCCCTTACTCTTTTCTCTAGCTCTTTTGACCCTGGTTGGGCATCTGGGATATCAGCTACTGTGATCCAAGGATTGCTGGGTCTGTTGGTGGAAGGTGGTGCCGACAATGTTAACCAGTGTTTCCTTGAAGCCTCTCGATTTGGGAGTACAGAACTCGTGCGTATTTTGTTGCAGGTAAGTCATTTATATGCACTCCCTTAATCTCAAACTGTCAACTTTCCTGAAGGCAATCTTGCAAAGTCCAAGTTTTTGGTGTTTCCTAGGAAAGAATTGCTTATGAAAAAGGTAAAAAAACTTTAGTCTTCATGGGAAAAAGATCTTCAGACTTTAGCAAGACATTGAAAAGGAGAAAGGATATGAGTTTTGGAGGTGTGAATATTCTCCTTTTCTTGGTTGTAGTGAAGGCTTCAGAAAGAAAGCTGTTGTTTAATTGTATAAAAGTACTTAAGAGGGTTAATAGTATGCCATATTCTTTGCATATATATGAGATTTAATTATTAGCATAGGTTGGGAAGGTGTGTAAGATCTCTATTTGTTTGATAATAAATTTTAGTTACTTGGTTACCCCTTAAGTGTGTCTATAACCTGAAGTGAAAGGAGCGTAAAAGATATAAGTGTGATTTATATAGGAACAATTAATATACTTCTGTTTGATTTCTGCATGGTACCTGGAGAAACCAGTCGTGTCCTAAAATTTAGTGGTAACTTTAATCATTGGTTAAATTATGTACTCCTTTCTCTTATGAATAAGATTCAGAAACCTTAAGCAGGGAAAGTGCTATTCTAATAAGACATGCTCAATAGTATGTAACTGTGATCAGAAGATTTGTCATGCTTCACAGCTTGCTTGAGTAATATTTTATTAATCATTCTCCTTGCTTTGTGGGATTTATCTTTCAGATTGCCCAAAGGAACAGTTTGGATGTCGATGTTGATCTGGCCCTGGGTTTTGCTTCACACTATTGCAAGATTGGCACGATGGAGTGTCTAGTAGAAGAGGGTAATGCTGTGGCTTTCTTGGGCCCTTTGATGAGAGCTGCTGAGAGAGGTTGTATGCAGGTTGTCCAATGGTTTGTGAAAAGGGGTTGCCGTGATATGGATCTGTGCCTTGCCCTTACAGCTGCCACTTCCAGCAGCCAAGTTGAAGTTGCTGCCTATCTGCTCCCCCACGTCCCTCAGCATGTTCTTGCAGCTCTCAGCATTGAGATTCTCAAGGCTGCAGGTGAAAGAAGTGGTGGCTCTCTTGATGGTGTGGCATTCCTGCTCCATTCTGATTTCTTAAGTGACCCAGCTGCTACATACGCAGTTGCAGACAGCATTGCTAGGTCTGATGACGAGGCTGTTGCCCCTGACCTGAAAGCTTTTCTTCGGGAGCATTGGTCTGAGGCAGCTTTCTTGGACGGATTAAATCAAGGGCAAGAGCATTACATGAATCTAGTTAGGATTTTGAAGTGGGGTGGATCTCCTATTTGCCTAAGGGATCTGCCAGGTCCTCTGAGGGTGGCAATTGCCTACCTGCCGCTGTATAGGGAGTGTATTAAGGTAGGTGGTCGCTTGCTATCACAAAGGTTAAGGGGTCAACTTGTTGAAGCCGTGAAAAGGCTTGGAGGTGGGGTGTTGGGAGAGGTGAGCCAGGGCAAAGAGCTCTTGGCAGTTTTGGAACATCACCTCCCTCCATTTTTGGTCCACGCTCCCTTCACTGGTTAGCAAAAATTAACCGTTGGATATTTCACATTTTCGCTTCTCTTTTTACCTCCATATCTCATGTGTCATAGATAATAATAATTTACATATTACCTGTGGTTAAGGTGACGAAGCTTTTAAGGTTTGTCAAATTTTCCTACCATCATGTGGTTGGCATAAAATCTTGGTTCTCTCTGTAGTCTCCTGGGTTTTTTTTGGCTATACCATACTATGTTCTCTCTTAATGGCTTTGCATTTTGACCTTGTTATATGTAAGTCAGAGAGTAATTATTATCACAAGAGTTAATATATGATGGGAATGTATATTGTAACCTCTTGTGTTCATTGCTCATTTTTCAATCTTTTTTGAGAAAATTGACTAGATCTCCCGGTTCAGGAGGTTAACTGTACCATGATCTGATCGTCCACATGCAATGGGATGATTCATTTTAGCATGTTATAAATGTTTAGTTGAAGAAAAGTGGCCACAAAGTCATAGACAAATCAAACTTTCCAAGCTTCCCTTGTCTATGCTTTGCTTGCAAAAGTTGAATTTGAAAAAAAAAGGCCTTTTGCCCTGTAAGCCATATGTAGTTTTACTGTGGCCGACTGGGTTGGCATATATTCTTCTGTGTCGATTTTGAATAGACAAATTTGGTCATCTTCCTCTTTAAAAGAGTATTCTTTGCCTAAAATAAATGATGTTCACATGGTGTTTGACCGCAGCCAAATGGGGAGATATATGATATGAAATGAAATGAAATGAATGTGACCAATGCTATGGTCTAAAAGATCTGTAAAATTATTCTGCATTAATGGTGAGTATAAAATGTGAGGAATAAAAAATTTGCTTTTTGGAAACGTTG